TCACATCATCCCTCCCCCCCCTTTTTTTCATCTCGACCGCCCTTACGACTGGAGTGCTGCAGAGGGGCTTACTTCAACACCCGTCCTTCTCTTCCTCCTCCTCTCTCGCCCCGCGCGTCTCCTTCACGACTTGCTGGCAGCTCGTGAGCCCCTCCAGCCCGGCCAGCCTGCGGGGCTCGACCCGCTCGCCGCGCAAGTAATTTCACATATCCCGATCGCATCCCCCTCCTCCGCCCCCCGCGCCGAGCAGTCGTCGCCTGTTTGCTCCATCGATACTCTAGACCGGCTGCTGGGCCAGCAGCCCGGGGAGCGCCCGCCGCGGCCGGCATAGGCAGCCCCGCAACACGGGCGCGCTGCAGAGGCGGCCCGCCCCGGGGACGGCGGCCGGGCTCACTGCGGTCGCCGCTGCGGCGGCCTACAGCGCGGGGAGGGACGTCACTTGATTCAGCACTTCCGATTACGAGGTCGTCATTTCCGGCCCGGGCCTCCCCTCAATGGGTCGTCAGCAATCCCCGAGGCCCAGCAGCAGCGGCAGGCAGAGGGGGGCGCGCTGCTCATCGGACCCGATCGGCTCGGATCGCTCCGGGTCCTGCTCGGCCTCGGCTCGGCTGTCGGGCCGAGGGAGCCGAGTCCCAAAAGCATCATGATGATGATCAGGGGGAGCCCTGCTGGGGGACCAGGGTGGGGCGGGTGAGGCATGATTACAAGGAGCGCTTTCGGGTGGGGAAGGCGGCGACACTACTGGAGTGAGCAGGAGCATGCGTCCGACTTTTCCTCCTGCTCCTTTGTTGGGATCTGACGAGCGTTGCGCCGTCGCATTCTCGAGGTGCTGCTCGCCCCCCCCCCCCCCAATCCTTCGCCGGAATCCCCTTTTGCTCCGCTAATCTCCCGGAACGTAAAAGACGCGCCTCGTCTGCACTGCAACCGTCCCCTGCCCTGCCCCCTGACGCCACGCGCTGCTCACTATAGTGTACTTCGACTAACGGAGGAAGAAGAATAGCGGGTGGAACATAAACGTTACCGTTTGGCCGAGAACTTCCCGCCTCTACGTCACGCCATTAGTTGGGGGGTAAGCGCTCGGCCAATCAGGAACCTTTATGTTCTACCCGCTATTCTTCTTCCTCCGTTAGTCGAAATACACTATTCAAGTTGACGCCGCGCGCGCGTCTTGCAGCAGGAATAAGTCATCAATAACAACTCCGACTTCCTCTCGCGATCCGGTCCGTCACAGCAGCTCGCGGCATAACTAGGCCCACGTGACGCGCAGTTCGGCTCGCCGTGTTAATTGACGAAGACACACAGGACGGGCGAGCTGACGGGGAGACAAGCAAAACGGGCGCGCCGCTGTGATGGGATGGCACAATACAACTCAAACTCAACCCCCTCTCCCTCTGCTGCACCCGCTGCGAAAAGGTGGAGGGCTGCTCCGGGGCAGCAGTAGTGGGGGGG